ATTTTCCACACGAATGTCTCGGTGAAGTCCCGTCCGTGCTCCTGATCGAATCAACGCACAGCCCAGCGTGCTTTGAACTTCTCAATTGTGCTGTCTGCTTTTGTTTTAACGCGGAAGACCCATTTCCCGGTGAGAATGGTCTTGTTCTTTGCCACGCTGATGGGGACAACTTTCCAGGTGTTCCGTTCCTCCAGCGCCTTTAACTCTCTGTCCATGGCTTCACGCCATTTTTCCGTGTGTTCCCCCCCCAGAGCCTGCTGAACCGTCGCAGGCTCCTTAGGAAGAGTGTTGCCGTGGACTGCGGTGACGAGTCCGAGAATCTGCAGTCCAGTCTGTGAGTAGCGGGGAAGAGTTGCATCCTCGAGATAAGCTGCTTCATCTCCCGCTTCTGGATCAGGTATGAAATTCGGTCCTACTCATTATGCTTCGTTGGTGTTGACTATCGCAGGTGTTACGTAACCGTTGTCGGCGAAGTAGTAGAAGGTTTCGGCGTTGACACTTTCGCGAGGGTTATCTTCGTCCATGGGGACGTCGACGGAGCAAAACGGAAGGGGTTCAGCTTCTTCTGATGCGTTGACCACATTTTGCTCGTCCCTGTCAGCTTCGTCTGCTGTCGAGGCAAAGGCTCGGTCACCACGAAAACCACCTGTGAGATCTTGGTCCTCTTGTAGGTTGGCAAGGTATGTCTGGAGCGTGAGTCGTTCGTAGAAAATGACGTCGCGTGCTGCTACTGTTTCCTTAGAGTGGACGTCAAAGATTTTCCACACGCTGTAGTTCTTTTCGATGCCGAGGTGTAGTCCCCACTGTGCGCATTGAGAAAATCGGCCCGCTCGTACTGCTGGGGGTCGGTACTGTACCATGCATCCAAAAACTCGTAACATTTTTGTGCTGCCTTGTTTCCCTGTCCATAGCAGATGCGGTGATGCATTGTTCGGAAGCGATGATGACGACAGCAAGTTGTGCAGCATGACGGCGTGGTCCATTGCTGCAAGCCACTAGTGGTTGGGTAGCCGCATGCCACGTAACAGTTTGCGCATGCTGTTCTGCAGAGTCCTGTTCATTCTTTCTGCTACTCCTTGCTGCTGATGGGCGTAGGGAAGAGAGAGGAGCTGCTTGATTCCCCTTTCCGCCAGGTACTGCTTGAATCGCTAAGAGGTGTATTCTCCTCCTCCGTCAGACTGGAAGCTTTTCAGCTTTACGCCCGACTCTCTTTCTGCTACTAGTAGCCAAGCAGCGAATGCTTCGAGGACCATGTCGCGGCTGGGTAGGTTTAGATGCCAGACGTAACGGGTGGCGGCGTCGATGAAGGTGATTGTGTAGTTGTATATTACTTGTCCTGGTTCCCGATTGTACAGGATGTCACTATACACCTTTTCGAGTGGTGCGTACGCGGGTGCGCTCGGGTTGTGATGAGGAGTGAACGGCCGATGTGGTAAGTCGGCTTCGCGGCAAGTAAGACATGTTCCTCGTGCCCGTTGAAGTTCTCTGCCGTCGAGTAGTAGTAACGAGTCCTTGTCAAGGACTCCTTCTCTTATTGTGTTGTTTAACACAGTGTTGCTTGGGTGTCCCATGCGTGCGTGCCAGATGTCTTCGGAGGCGCGGTGTCCGGGTGAGCGTCGATACGCGTCGGAGTTGGAGTAGAAGCTGGCGGTGAAGTTTGCGCTTCTATGGACTTCCCGTTGAGCCGGATTCAGCTGCTGTGCGGGTGTTGGTGGTGCTTCGTCAACGAGGACTGGTGTCGTTGTTCCTGCTACTGTCGATGATGTCTCTGCTGCTGCCGATGTTGTCTCTGCTGCTGCCGATGTTGTCTCTGCTGCTGCCGATGTTGTCTCTGCTGCTGCCAATGTTGTCTCTGCTGCTGCAGATGTTGTCTCTACTGCTGCCGATGTTGTCTCTGCTGCTGCCGATGTTGTCTCTGCTTCTACCGATGTTGTCTATGCTGCTGCCGATGTTGTCTCTGCTGCTGCCAATGTTGTCTCTGCTGCTGCCGATGTTGTCTCTGCTGCTGCCGATGTTGTCTCTGCTGCTGCCGAATGTTGTATTGTTACTAACGCACGTGTTCGTTCTGCTTCAGGAATGGTATGTGAATACCAAAAGCCTTCTAGACTGATGTCGGGGTCGAGATCCGGCGGGTGCGTCCAAGATGTGAAGGTGACGATCTCGTCACTGTCTGCGGTGCCCAGGTCTGGGACGAAATCGAGAACGAAGACATTGTTCTTCAGGACCGCCTTTCCGATGTAGAGGCCGCCCTTCCCGTGGTACAGCTTGAACTCCTGGGTGGTACTGTCGGCTTCCAGATGTATGCCTTTCGCCATCAACTGACTGACGCTCAGTAAGTTGTAGCCAAGTCTTTCTGCTATTAGGACTTTGGACATTTGCAGTATGACATTCGTCTCTCGTGACTGAAGTTGCACTACTCCTTGTCGTCGTGTGCGTTGGTTCTGATTATTGGCGACAGTGATGACGACTTCTCGTTCAAGTTGGTGCTCGCGTTGAACGAAACGTCCTGAAGAGCACATATGTTGTCCGCAGCAACTGTCCAAGAACCATGTATCCTTCCCGGACGGCTCGCTTTGAGCGATGGCGGCGTACGTCGGGTTTGGTTCAAGTGACTCGCGGCGAGGCGTGCTGTTGTCGAGTTGTTCTTCTGGTGAGTAATATGGTGGTGACTCAGTTGTGCAGGAGTCACTCAGCCTTGCCATGCAGCTGACGATGTTTCTTGTTCCTTTCGCAGGTTGTCTCGTCGATGTTGTTGAGACTTGTACTGAAGTTGTCGGATTTGCTTGCGTTGAGGCGACTTGACTGCTTGAAGGGCAAAATTGGCGTTGCGGCGACGTTGACTGTTGTCGATTCGGGCAGTGGGTACGAGGATGCCCTGAAGTCTTGCAGAGGTGGCAGAACGGAGGTACGATTTTCAGTCGATTGTTGTTGTTGTTGTGGCGCCGTTGAGTGTGAAACGCGAATTCGGGCACTGATACCTTTCTCTTGTGTCGTTCTTCTTGCAGGTCCATGTCTTGCTGCTCGGCGTGGATTTCGGCGCAAAGTGTTGCTTCAGAAATTTTCTCGTGGGCTCGTAGTATGGCGCGAGTGGAGTGCCAGTGAGGACCAAGACCGGCGATGACAACCGTGACGAAGGCGTCCTCTGAAATCGATCCTCCACATCGAAGAAGCTTGTCGCGCAGCTCGCGGCAGCAGCTGATATACGCCATTCCCTTCTCGCCTGGTTTCATTTCGATTGTTGTCAGTTGCGCCATTAACCGACTTTGGTTTACGCTGTCTGTTGCTTGATACAGGCTCTTCAAGTGATTGTACGCGAGCTCCGCGGAGTTGCCGTAGCCTCGGTAAGACCGTATGTTTTGTTGTTGAGTTGGTGTGATGTTCCTCAATAGTATCGTGTACGCCATCATCGATTAATAGGTGTACTGCTGCTTCTCATACTGTGTGCCCTTTGTTGGGTATGGCAGGGACCCGTCGAAGAAGCCAAGGATTTGCGCTCCTTCCATCATCAGCTCGAATTCGAACGACCAGGTAAAGAAATCCTTCCCGTCGAAGGGTTTTGTCGTTTGCAGTTTTAGAACGTGCGCGAACTGCGACTGAACTTGTAGTGCGTCCAGCGTTCTCTCTTGTCCCGGTGCAGGTTGTGGTTGTGGCATGAAGCTGACGGAGCCGCGCTGGGGCTCGTACGGAGCGAAGGTAGGCTGCTGTTGTTGATTCCCGCGTGCGTAGGATGAGCCATCGAGACTCATGGGCGTCACGTTGTTGTTGTTGTTGCTGTTGTTTGATTGCGCAGGTGCTCCTTGCTGATGCTGCTCGTAGAAGGACATGAAGGAGAAGAACTTCTCCATGATGCTTGGATCGAAGCCCGCGCCTTGGTTTGCGGGTGTTTCAGTAGACCCAGCTGCCGGTCTCGTTGTTGTGCCTTCCTCTGTCTGTAGGCCAGAGGCAGGAGGTGGAGTAGGAGTAGTACCAGGAGAGCCGTTGGAGGAGCTCCTCTCCTTTCTGGTAGACATGTCTCTTGGTGTATTAGGTGTTAAGGAGAAATAATTTTAACCCTAACCAGCTCTCATACCATGTTGGGTTGAGTGCCCCTTAGGATCTTTGGTAGGGTTAAACTCTGAGTAGAGTGATGTAGTAGCGGAAGCGTTTAAATGAAGTCCTTGAACCACCTTGCGCTGGTGTGTGAGGGCAAAGTAAGTTGTTTAAAACAAGCAAGTACAAAGGTTTATTTTTGAGTACAAAGAATACGAAGAGATATAATTAAACTGTTTTTACTGTTGCGGTTCGATACAGTGCGACTCGGGCAACTGCTCAATGTCGAGTCAGTTGTGTGTCCTTGCTGTCGCGCTGCATTTGTCAAGTCAAAGGTCGCTGACCTTTGACTTTCGCGTAACCTCCAGCGGTTACTTCAACCTCCGAGGGTTGACTCGCTGGTGCCTCGATATGCTCTGCTTCGCTTGTGTCTTGGTGTTTCGACACGACAGAGGCGCTTAAGATTGTTTGTTCCCAACAGGGGTCGGGCTAAGGAGGGGCTGGAACCCTGATTTGTAAGGGTAGGCCTAAACCAATTTTAGGCCCTGCTCGTTGGGTATCGGTAGGACGATCCAATCCCAGATGAGCGCATGCAAAACCCCCTTGTGGGGCGTTGGCAGATCTCGCCGTTACGGGGGTTGGAACGGAACCAAAACAATTAGAAGTGACACATTCTTCTACCTTGGCCACTTCAAGAGTCATTGATTTGGCACTATTACCACGTCGTTACAATCAGAAATGAACTGGACGCAACCGAAGCTTTCGTAAATCTCTTTAGCGCGTATTATTGTTGGCGCACTTGTGATGCGAACAGCTAGATCGTCCAGCAATAGCGCACCTTGCAACACGTACACAGCTCCGCTGGGCTGTGGAAATTAGTGTAGCCAACTAGACGAGATGGCCTGTAAAGTATGCGATCGATCGGAGGAAGCGAAAAGGAGCAGCTTGAGGTGATGAGGTTTCGACGAGAGATGGCTGATGTGAACGCAGACAGGGAGCAGCAGAACGGGAAGCGACGCGCAGGTCGAGAGTCTTTGATTCAGCGGAAGCCGATCGGTGGGCAAACGAGCGTGCGACACGTGGTCCCGTACTCGTGGCGCATAGCATCATGTGTGCTCGTTCTTCTCCTCGCTACGCAAGTGAGTCCTTTGCTCGCTTCGATCATCGCAGCACCGCACTTTGCTTCCAGCCCTCGCTCTTCACCGCCCCCGCGTCCCCGTAGCCAGCCATGCCGCCTTCCCCGCTGCATCGCGCCCATTTTGACGGCGCCGGGCACCCCTTTCCCATCACTGCGTCGCATTGCTCTGCGTCGCATCCGCTATGCGTGTTCATCGGACTTCACCACCCTCCCACCACTCTCTCGTCTTAACCCAATCAGAGCCCGCCACGTGTCGCCTCCATAGACGTGGAGGGCGGGCTGGGAGGCGCGGAGGACCCGTGGGGGTGGGCGTATCGGGAGGAGGTGTGCGGCGCGTGGCACACCAACTACACCCATCTGCACCGCATCATCCGCTCCGCCGCGCGCCAGCTCGTGCAGGCCCGCCAGACTGACTCGGCTGGCACCAGTGGTGCTGCTGGGGGAGGAAGGGGGCATGGGGACGGGGTCTGGGAAGCGCGGAATGACGAGGAGGGAGGTGGAGGGGGTGGCGGGGACGGGGAAGGCGGCGGCGAGGCGGCGCGCATGGCGGGCATGGTGCGGTTTGCGACGTACTCGTGTGAGTCGCTGGCCCGGTGTGGCGGCGTGGGCGACGTGCTGCTGGGCGTGTTCTCCACGTTCCTCATCGCGCTGCTGCAGGACCGCGCCCTCGTGCTCAGCCACCCGCTGCTGCACCACGCCTTCCTCCCCGCGCACGTCAACTGGACCCTCGATGACGACGTGCCCTGGGGGGCGGGCCGGGAGCTCGACCCCAACAACCCCACCGATGGTGCGCAGCAGCAGCAGCAGCCGCCGCCGCACCATGCGGGGGACTTTGGGGACGTGGCCAGGTGGACAGCGCTGGGATGCCTCACCCTTACTTCCTGCACGCTTCTCCTCTTTTGCTCCACCCTTTCAATCCCAGCCTCTCTGCGTTCTTCGTCCTCCATTTCTTCCTTCCCCTCTATACCTCGCCCTCACCCTTACCTCCCCCTACCTCTCGCTGCCTCCCTCGTCCTGCATGCAGAGGCGCAGCCAGGAGAGGTGACGGACGTGAATCTGCAGGACACGGTGCCGCCCAGCCCCGAGGCGTTCTTCGCGCGCCACGAGGCAGCGGCCAACATGCGAGTGCGGTGGAACCGCGGGGTGGCCACGCGCCTCTTCAGGGAGGGCGGCGACTGGAGCCGCCTGCTGCACCGCCTCGGCCTGCGCCTGCCCGTCTCCTTCGGCTGCGTCATCCGCTTCCTGCTCAGGTGCCATCCGCTTCCTGCTCAGGTGCCATCCGCTTCCTGCTCAGGTGCCATCCGCTTCCTGCTCAGGTGCCATCCGCTTCCTGCTCAGGTGCCATCCGCTTCCTGCTCAGGTGCCATCCGCTTCCTGCTCAGGTGCCATCCGCTTCCTGCTCAGGTGCCATCTGCTCTCCTCTGCCTTGTCTCAGGTTCCCCACTCTCCTGTGCCTTGTCTCAGGTTCCCCACTCTCCTGTGCCTTGTCTCAGGTTCCCCACTCTCCTGTGCCTTGTCTCAGGTTCCCCACTCTCCTGTGCCTTGTCTCAGGTTCCCCACTCTCCTGTGCCTTGTCTCAGGTTCCCCACTCTCCTGTGCCTTGTCTCAGGTTCCCCACTCTCCTGTGCCTTGTCTCAGGTTCCCCACTCTCCTGTGCCTTGTCTCAGGTTCCCCACTCTCCTGTGCCTTGTCTCAGGTTCCCCACTCTCCTGTGCCTTGTCTCAGGTTCCCCACTCTCCTGTGCCTTGTCTCAGGTTCCCCACTCTCCTGTGCCTTGTCTCAGGTTCCCCACTCTCCTGTGCCTTGTCTCAGGTTCCCCACTCTCCTGTGCCTTGTCTCAGGTTCCCCACTCTCCTGTGCCTTGTCTCAGGTTCCCCACTCTCCTGTGCCTTGTCTCAGGTTCCCCACTCTCCTGTGCCTTGTCTCAGGTTCCCCACTCTCCTGTGCCTTGTCTCAGGTTCCCCACTCTCCTGTGCCTTGTCTCAGGTTCCCCACTCTCCTGTGCCTTGTCTCAGGTTCCCCACTCTCCTGTGCCTTGTCTCAGGTTCCCCACTCTCCTGTGCCTTGTCTCAGGTTCCCCACTCTCCTGTGCCTTGTCTCAGGTTCCCCACTCTCCTGTGCCTTGTCTCAGGTTCCCCACTCTCCTGTGCCTTGTCTCAGGTTCCCCACTCAGCCCATGCCTATGTTGCCCCACTCATTTCTCCTTGGGATTCTCATGTGTTTCACTTTCCACTCCCCACTCTCCTTTGCTTGTTAAATGTGTTGCATGAGTCAACACTACAGAAGCGTCATATACACCTGTGATGCTCCCCCGTCCCCGTGCGCTTGTCACAAGTTCCGATTCCCACTCTCTTTGGCTTGTCATACCCATTTCCATCCTCCTTGGCTCATCATGTCTTCTACTCTCCTTGGCTTTTCAAGTTTTGTGCAATGAGACACCCCTACAGCTGCGTCACCCCCTCCCTCCCCCCTCCTCCATGTGTGTTCTCCCCTCTCCTCCACCTGTGTTGCTCCCCCCTCCCCCCGCCCTGCACTGCGTTGCTCGCGGTGCCACCATGTGTGGGGCAGGCCCAAGCTGGAAGTGTTGAGGGCGGTGGAGCAGCAGATGAGGGAGGTGGAGCGGCCGGGGGTGAGCAGCATCTGCATCCACACGCGCACGCCCGACGAGATGACGTGGACCAATCGGGGGGAGGTGCTTGGTGGGGAGAATGACGCTGCTGCAGAGCTGCTGGGATGGGCCAGAAACAAGCTCTTGGCATGTGCACAGGTGAGGGACAAAGCTCCTCTTGCCTGTTTCTTTGGTGATCTTGTCAATTTTTCTTCATGTGACCACGTTGCTAATCACGTTGTTGGCTCCCCTTCCATCCCGCTCACCGCTCTGCCACACGTACTGCATGTGGCACGCGCCACGCGCACACGAGTAGAAGGTGGAGGATTTTTGGATCCCGGGGGATGTGGCGGTGCGGTGGGTGTTTCTGAGCAACTCGCGGGACATCAAGGAGGCGGTGCTGGCGCAGTACGGCGACAGCAAGGTGCTCACCACGGGCATCACGCCGCTGCACACCGCCATGGTGCGCGCGGCAGCGGCGCGTGTGGCGTCGTGGCAGACGTCGGTGGCGGAGTGGGTGCTGCTGACGCGCTGCTCGCTCTTCGTGGTCACCGAGTCGGGCTTCTCCAAGACCGCCGCACTCTTCTCGCTGCGCCCCCTCGCCATCTACCTGCTCGCGCGCCACCACTACCGCAGCGCGCGCAACCAGTGGACCGACTCCTGCGACCCCGAGAGGCCCGCCTCCTTCGCCCTGCTGGGCGAGCGCTGGAGCGGCATCTGATCTGACCGCCCCGCTCGTGCTTGGGGGGACTGGAGAGATGGGGGTGGAGCGTGACTTTATGCATGCCAATCATTCCATGGCAGTGGTGCTTTCAGAAGCTCATCAGCAGAGAGATGGCTGCAACACTGGCAAGCTGTTACGGAGAGCTTGATACCCTGGTGTGGACTTGGGGTCATGTTGGGAAACTGGTCCATGCAAAGGCACTACAAATGCTATTGTAACATGGCTGATGTTGTCAGTCTTGTACAATGACGCACTTATCTACTAGAGGTAGGAACGATTCGCTTGGAAACTGGCGGGGGGGTTGGTCATTCCGCAAGGCATTACTACCGTGTGCGAAAGGCGGTACACTCGCAGTTGGGTGGGTTGTGTCAGAAGTGGAACAACAGAATGACTGAAAGAGAATGTTGGTGCTAGAAAGGCGTAGTGCAAGCGTAGCGGAAACGTGTTTGTAGAAAGAACTAGATAGAAAGCTTGCATTGAAAATGGGTTGAGAATTGATTGATATTGGGGAATACAAGCAAGGTTGATATAGCATGCAGGATCTAATGATGGAGAGTACTTCGTGGGACTAGAAAGTAGAAGCAAGAAAAGTAGAGTGCCAGGTGGCACAAGGAAATCAAGGAGGATAAGGATAAGGGTGAGTTGGAAAGTACTGTTCAAAGGGAACAGTAAATCTCCCCCCCCTTTATCGTGGAGGCTACACTAAAACCAAACACCACTGGTATACAGTATTCGTTATACGGTACTGTATTCGGTTTTCCAACACTCCCCCTTGTTGTAGGTTTTAGTGAATTCGTCTTTCTTGGAGGATGGGGTGGATAAGGCGGTGTAGCACCGTAGCAGAGGTAGGGGTGCTCCCAACCGAAGCCAAGCTAGGGTTTGGTGTTCACCAAGCCGCTTCTCATTTTGCCCTTCGCAAACTCTCGGTGCTTCCAACTCCAACCAAACCATCTTTCCTCACGTTTTCCAAACCCTCCTTTCGATCTCGACTTTCCAGATCCAGATCCAATGAGTAATGGCTACGTCTGAGGAAATCGTAGCAGCTCCATGACGAAATCTCCTCAAAACCATGTCGAAATGCGTATATCGTCATGGCGGAATGCCCTTAGCGCACGCCGAATTTCCGAAACCGTCAAATTTACGTCACACGATTGTCAGTGCTGCTGTCTTTTCCGCATGCCTCCTATGCGACGACGAAAACGCCGCAGCGGATGCGCGTCTGCGACGACTACAGTTGCGGATGACGCGAAGCGGTAGCGGACAACGCATGGCGTGCGGCTGGCGCAGAACTGCATTGGCAGGCGTACACGGCGTGCGGTAGAAGCGACGATCTGGCGTGTGTTAGTGGCTGACGATCTGCTGCGCGTCTGCTGCACCATTTTCCTGTCCGCGCTTGCTGTATCTTCGTGGGTCTTTTCTCCCCCTGTCTTCCTGTCCTGCCTTTCTCTGTAGACCTTGCCCTTCTCCCCCTGCCTCGTGATGTGATGGCATCAGGTTGTGCAAGTCTTGAATGCACACCAGCAGATGATGCGAAGTCTGCTCGAACTTCACCCATGCTGCCCTGTGACGCTCCCCCTATAATCCAGGTGCCGAACTCCATCAGCTCGAGTTGACAGGTGCACTCCAAGTATGCAGTGGACGCCAAGTATGCAGTAATGTGCCCCCATGT